GCCTAATTGACCTAGTCTTTGCTTGAGAAAGAGAGACTAGGTTTAGGAAAGCTTGGCTAACAAGGAATTGGGGTGAACTCAAGAAATTGATAGCCCCAATTAAAGGGTCAAATCTAAAGATAGTAAGACCCGACTTGAGCATACATCACTTGATTTGTGCAATACCCATTTGGGCTTGAGAAAGCCAAATTGGGCAAAATCACTCAAACTACCAAGAGGTATAGAGTGAGCAATTGTGTGTGATTGCTATACCACGATCCTGATTAATCAAACTTGCCCTATAGTTTACAACTCATTAGGTAGCCACCTAGGTGGAAGTCACGACCCTAGATTCCTTTATCATTTGAAAAACACTCAAAACCAAAAGCATTATCTTCTAATTTAGTAGTTGCAATCATTAGATAAAAGTAGAAATAGAAACAACCAATGAATATGTGGAAGTGCAATCTAAGGCACACCATACATTTACTCTAGTTACATACCTAATCTCATATCTAACTCCCTGAGGAATCGATCCCGACCTGTGTTGGAATTTATTATTGCTTCGATCGCCTCACTACCTAATTGTGGTGTGAGTTTGGGCGAGATCAGGCAGCAGTGAGTTGGTCGAGTCGGTGGTGGGGGGAATTTTGGGGGTGAAATGGGTAGGAAAGGATAGATCTCAATGAGCTCTATCCGTTTATATATGGAACATGGTATGGAAGGTTAGATCTTGCCGCATTTTAGGTGGCGGTAGCTAGGGGTTTTTTCGGATTTTGGTAGATTTGATGAGATTGTGGGTGTTTTCAGGGATTTGGTGTTTAGATATAGAAAGAGAGGGTTGAGATTGGGGGGAGTTAAAGTTTGGGGATGATTGGCTAACGGTTGGCGGCGAGGCAGAGGTGGAGGCTGAAAGGTGAGGGAGAAGAGAGAAGAAAGGAGTTTAGGGTTGGGGTTAGGTCTAAATAGGGCAAAAATTCTGGGTTTTGGGGTTTATATACCGAAGATTGGGATGAATGAGAGCCAATGGATCGAAGCTAGATAAATGAACGAGATCAAATCTTGAGATCACTAAATGAAACGACGTAGTTTCAATATGAAACTATGCCATTTGATCTCAGTATATCTTGGACTGGGTCAAGCCGATTTGCCTGAAATTTTGGCTCAATTTGGATGAAGAATAAAAAAGGTCCAATCCCTTTAACCCCTTAACAACGTAAAAATAGTACGGGCTAGCCAGTTTTTGGACTGGTCATTCAAAAATAGCTAGCGTTTGCAAGGTCATTGAAAAATAGTCACTATTTTGCTGCAATAGGGACCAGTCCAGCATAATATACGGGAGATTAGTGCACCTGTATATGAACTTCCAGCATATTATGCTGAAAATCCAATAAGCGGAAAGTTCCAGCATATTATACTGGAGATTGGAGCACATGTGTATGAACTTCCAGCATATTATGCTGGACCGGTATATCATACTGGAACTCCAGTATATTATGCTGGAACTCCATTATACTGGAGTTCCAGTATACTGGAACTCCAGTAATTCCAGTATATTATGCTGGAGTATTTTCCGAATTTTGAACAGTGTTTTCGTTCAAATTTATTTTTACATGAAAAGTAGCTAAATTTCATTAACTTTTGAAACTATGGCTATTTTTGAATTTCTCCCCTTAACGACTAGTTAAACTAAAGTCTTATTCAAAAACCTACAAATACACACATAATAATCCTAAAAGAAAAATATAATGTAGAATAAAAAGGAAAGCAAAAATTAGGCATTTACAATAGCTACATGTATATATAGAGAATCAAAGATCTACATAAGCGAGCACTGCTACTAATTGCAACCGTGTAACTAACTCTGTACTGATTTTCAACTAACTTAACTAACTTCTTGAACATGTAAGATGAGTTAGAATTATAGCTGTCTGTACTTCTTATTTTCTTCCGGTATACTCGATACTTCTCAAATACACACTGGGATTGTTAGCATCCACATTTTCAACTTAATTTGGAGTCCACTGTGATTTAGCTTTGACATCTGCAAGCAAACGATTGGATGGAACTTCTTGTTGTAAGCTTATTTTGTCTCCACGTGAAGTGACGTGATGCAGTTAGTATTAAGACTTTGTATAAAGTGATTTGGAACTTCAACTAGTTAATTTAATCTACAAGCTAATCAAAGTCATACTGCAAAACGTACTGTACGTTCCATTCTCTTCAACTTGTGTACATCCGTGTAAATTGATTCAAAACTAGAATTTGCAAAATAATAATGTACTAAAGAACTTATTACTATATCTTCAAGTGCTTTCTTTTCTGGGAGGAAAATAATGTGAAGACATTAAAAGGGATCTTTTCATATATATGAAATTTTAAACTTATTAAAGTAGTGTTTTTCTTCGAGTTTTATCTAGGATTTTCTATTTACAGAAAGTAACTAAAGTCTTTTACAAAATCCAGTCAAAAGCTACAATTATAGACAACTTGAATAGAAATTTTTTGTTTCACGGAAGTCGGTCACCCTCCGTTTCAATTTATGTGAACTCATTTGACTGGGTACGGAGTTTAAGAAAAGAGAGAAGATTTTTGAACTTGTGGTGTAAAATGAGGCACATATATTTTGTGTGGCTATAAATCATTGCATAAAAGTAAATTGTTTCCAAATAAGGAAATGGGTCATTCTTTTTTGCACGGACCAAAAAGGAAATAGGTTCACATAAATTGTTATACGAAGGGAGTAACTTATATGTAACTTGATACAATTTTTTTTATAGTATAAAATCCGGTAAAAAACTACAGTTTACATACAACGTATGTACAACTTATATATAATTAGGTTAGTTGTATATACTTTGTATATTGTTTGTATACCCTACAAAACATATACAATTTATTTATGGGTTTACAACTTATATACAATTAGGTTAGTTGTATATACTTTATATATTGTTTGTATTCCCTACAAAATATATACAATTTATTTATGGGTTCTTCTTCAAGTTTTAATCTGAAATTTCAACTAAACTAATACTTGAATCTTCACTAAATTTTCTCATAATTGAGATATAAACTCCAAAGGATATTCGCAATCATTTGCAACAACACCCAATCCAAACAAATAATAATTTTGCAAATTTCGATTTTCGAATTTAAAACTTAGAAGTTTTTTAATGATTGACAATGGAGTTTTAAATGAATTAACAGGTTTCTAATTCAACTTGCTCGCTTCTGATTAATACTCTTTAGTTTATTGATTCTAAAACAAAAAAATCAACGATCTTCCCTCTTGGATCCATGCTTCTCTTAGAAGCTTCCATGGCTATAACACCAAACAGCATGAACCCAAGGGATGTATATTTTCACTGAAGAGAAGCCAAAAACACAAGAATATAGTAAAAAGTAAGATGAAATAACCGAAATTGTAAAACTAAGAATTGCTTTGTAGGTAAGAAAGATTAAACAAAGAGTAGATGTTAAAGTAAGATAATAAACTAAGAAATTTTTTAATGGGTAACGAGAACGAAAGCACAATGATGAAAATATATTATTTTGTATAATTGGTAAATTATATATAAAATTATAATAAAATTAAAACATCTCTAGCGGGAGTAAATATATTTCTAATATAGTATAACTAGGTAAATTATCTATTAAAAAAAAACATTGTAAAGGACTATCTAGTATTACTTAGTTCTTTTTTTTTTTTTTTGGTTTGATATAACTTCTTGTGCTTTAATTATCTGTGGGGATACTTCAAAATCAATTATTCCAAAATTACTGAATTAAGTCAAAGTCAAAAAAAGAGTCAAAGTAACTTTTACTATAATCAGAAACCAAGTAATCCCGTGAAAATTGCACGGGGAGCCCTATTTGGTTGCTCCCATTTAACATATACCTATTTTTTTAAAGTTTTAACTTGTACCCACTTTTTAAACAACTTCAACCCCTTTCTCATCCTCATTCTCCTCCTTCGTTTTCTTCTTCTTCTTCTTCTTTCTTCTGCTGCTATTGGTGCTGCTATGAAACTTCAGTTCATGGGTTGATTGCCATAAATATGTTTATTAGATTATTTAAAAATAAATTATAAATAATTACGTAAGTTAGTAGACAATAATTTGTGAATATTTCCACGTGTGTAAGTTAGTAGACAATGATAATTTTGTCCTTTTCACATTTATTGTTTCCAAAATTTATGATTTTGATATTGTTGGCAATCTGATTATTTATCTAGTATGTTAGAAGCTTTTTCAAAAACTTCAGCTTATATAGTGCTGAAATTTTTACAAATGAACTAAATAACTTCAGCATCTTCTGCTGAAGTTTTTGAAAAAACTTTATGACAAAACTAATGAATTCAGGACAAAAAAACTTCAGCTTTAGTGCTAAAGTTTTTACAAATGAACTAAATAACTTCAGCATCTTCTGCTGAAGTTTTTGAAAAAACTTATCCAGGACAAAAAAAACTTCAGCTTATTTAGTGTTGATGTTTGTATAAATGAACTAAATAACTTCAGCATCTTCTGCTGAAGTTTTTGAAAAAACTTAATGACAAAACTAATGAATCCAAGACAAAAAAAAACTCTAGCTTGTTTAGTGCAATTACAAATAAAAACTTCAACAAATAGAGAATAAAATTTCAGCTACTATGCTTAAGTTCAGCAATTACAAACAAAAACTTCAGCAAATAGAGAACAAAACTTCAGCTACTATGCTTAAGTTCAGCAATTACAAACAAAAACTTCAGCACATTTGCTACTTCAGGCCCGTCTACTAGAATGCTGAAGTTTTGTGTGGTTGCCTTTGCTACTTCAGCCCCGTATGATGAAGTTACGCGGAAAAAGTGGGTATGCTTGCAATTTTTTTTGCAAAGCGGGCACAAGTTAAAACGTGACCCAAAAAACGATATAGATGCAAATCCCCGGTAATCCTTAGCCAGAGTCGTGATGGGTCAAGAGTGTCTAAACAAACAGACATGAACCATATCTCGAATCCTCACACATAATGGGCCTATGGGATGATAAAAAAGAAGGCTTCTTATTATAACCTTATTATTTTGGGGATTCTTATGCAAATATACAACCCAAATAAATAGTTTACAATCATTATAGCCTAATAAATTTTTATATCCAAAATAACTAAATTTCTGAAAAGAAGTGTTGTCTATTCCGATGTCATCTTTTATCTTTTTCCAGTTTGGTGGATTGTATTTATGTTTTGTTGAATGATCATCTTGATAATTGCTTTTGATTGTCGCTGCTTGTTCTGGAAGATCACTTGGTTCTTTTCCTACCATATATGATAGATAGCTGCAGCAATAGTCAACCTGTACACAATAGCATCAACACTCTTCCCTCGGCAATAACTTTCGTACCATAGAAGTTCTTCACTCCATTTCATAGCTGGTTTAACCATTCCTTGCCAGGGGCGGACGCAGAGTATAGAATACGGACGTAAATTATACAATATTAGCTATGGAAAGCCCATCTTTTTTCTTCAGGCACTCCAATTTGATCTATTAAGGATTCCAGGAACCATGTCCAGCTCTCTTTACACTCGGACTCCACAACTGCAATAGCTAATGGAAACATTTGGTTGTTCCCATCTCTTGCAATAGCTGTCATAAGTTGCCCTCCTAAAGGGCCTTTTAAGAAATATGCATCTAAGCCAATCATAGGTCTACAGCCTGACATAAACCCTTCTTTCAAAGCAGAAAATATGATGAACACTCTCTTGAAAGAAGACAGTTGTTGCAAAGAATATCTGTCAAGGCATAAGAATGCTGCAGAACCTGGATTTTGCTTCAAAACCATTTCACAATAATCCCTGACTCTATGAAATTGCTTATAAAAATTGCCCTTAATCCACTCAGTTGCTGTTTTTCTCGCTCTATACCCTTGCTTTTTAGAGATTATTACACCACATTTTCTCTTTACAGTTCTTCTAAAACCTTGTATGCTCCAGTTTGGCGCATCAAGAAGATCCTTCATGAACCTTTTGGCAACCCAAGTAGAATGGGCAATTTTATTCTTGAATGTCCTAGGGCACCTATGGGGCATTCCATAAAGAGTTTTAATCTGAAACGCAGTGGTCTTTTTCCAATAGCTAGCATGAATTCTCCATCCGCACAATCTTTTGCAATGTGTAATGACTTTATCACTTTCATTTTTTTCGAATCCAACTTCAAACCCATTCTTTATTGCATGTTGTCTAAGAGCCTTCCTAAATTGTTGAACTGAACAAAAACTCAAACCTGTGAACAATATTGGATTTTCCATATCAGTCTCTTCATTAAACCATTCAATATCCTTATTAGGAGCATCACACTTTGTCTCACCATCACCACTTAAGTCCTCTGAATCACTTCGAACACCTTCTTCAGATAGACCATCAGATCTTCCATAATATGAGTCATTATGGATATTTTTAATTACCGTGTGGTCAATATATGGCTCATCAATATCTCTTGTAATTCCTGAGTTGAGATTATTCTGTAAAAGTTTATTTATATCTTCAAATGAGTCGCTAAGAGTATCACCATCCACGAAGTATTCAAAGTCATCTTCAAAATTATTTTCTTCATCGCTCTCGGGTGAATATGTTCTATCTGAGTCACTATCCTCAACTGATTTATCCTCTTCAATGTTATTTTCAGCTGGTTCATTTGTCATATACACAACTACACCTCCCTCTCCTTGTGTATTATCCGCCAAAGCATTTCCATACCCCCCTGCATCATAAGAGCCAATTTCACCCGCAGCTTCAACATTTCCTCCAAAATCCGTCAAGTTCTCCTCAACATACAACTCAAAAGTATCAATATTTTTATGGTTTTTCACCATCTCTAATACCATTTTATCAGAAGTTAACAACACCAATCCATCTGCAATATCTTGGTTAGGCGTATTATAATATATAGGACAATTTTAAGAATAACCAAGTTCTTTCATTATAGCCAAAAGCTCTATATATGACAAACAATCAGGATCTATATTATGTACGGAGTGTACCTTTTCCCTTCCTCCTTCATAGTTTAAGACAGGATGCAATCCAAAAAATCCTCCATAATGAATTTCCAATGTTACCTTGTCCACCATAATTTCTGTAGGATAAGTAAAGTTTGAATAATTGAATTCTCATAATAATTTTAATATACAAAGAATGCACATAAATAAAATAACATTTTACATAGCAACAATTTTTTCATCTAATAGTCAGAAGAATCTCAATTTTTTTTTTATTTAAGGGGACTATCTTTTCTTGAACTTTGATATACGATTTTCTCTATTACATGAATGTTATGAATGACCTCAAAATAATAAAAAAAATTCACGCAAGGAAACTCAAGTATTATTTTGGATGAACATATTACACTTCACCTTATAGTAAAATGGCATGTTAGGCTAGCAAGACACAGGAAATCTTCAGATGAACGTGTTTGAATAAATTTGCATCGACTTGGTGCAAATGACGAGGACCCCGAGAATCCCAATTGAGAAGATATAGACAAAAAAAACCTAAAAGTGAAGCTCTCGGGTGGAATTCCTTGCTGTTGGATCGAATAAATATGGATTCGTCGATGAAAATTGACAAAGAAACAGATACTGGATTGGACAGATAAAACTTTACCCACTTGTAAATCAATACATATAATGAAAACATTCTTAAGTGAAAAAAAAAAAGTGAAACAGATGCGTAGTATCCGCTCACAAAATATTGAGCAAGAAGTTAATTTTGAGAAAGAATAGAATACCCCCATTGTTGCTGAGCAGTACCCATGGTTTCTCAACTGATAAGGCCGATGGACTCCATTCATACTGTAATATTTTAATATTTGCATTTTGTCCTTTTGAAACATAGAATGTGGCAAATAATATTATAGTAAGAATCATATCATATGATATCATATATCTATATCTATCTATACTATATTAAAAACAGCTTAGTAAAATGTTATTCGCGTTTTATACTTTTTAAAAATAAATTTAACTTTGGACAAAATTATAATTTAAGTTATTTTTCTAATATGTAGTACTTCAAAATTGATTAAAATTGTACTTGTCAAAACATTCCTTTATTTGAACTAAGTAAAAAAGTCCTAAATATTAGCATATTAATATAATTTATTTCCTTGTAGGTAACTTCAATTTCTGAACGCGAAACGTAGTTATCTTGCTTGTCCCAAGTTTTTGTCCATTTCTTTTCTTATTTTGGTATCAGTTCAGACTAAATAAATTAATTATTAATACATTTATCCGTTAAAGCTTAATACAACTATAAACGATAAATATATAAAATTTATCGCATACTAATTATCCATTCGTTTATTTTTCCATTCTATGTAGTTAAATTTGTGTCTCCTATTCCTAATCATGCAAAAATATATAGTTATATTTAGAATTAAAAAAGTAAATTTGTTGAGTTACATATTTCTTCATTTTATATTAGCTCAAAAACTTTTATATGTTGAGAAAAAAAAAATACGCAACATCTTTTTATAGCATTTTTCTTAATGTATTGGTGGTTGTGACATGGCTATGTACTAACAATATAAGTATTTTTTTTAAAACTATAGTGAGTTTAACTTGTGATAGCAAGTTAAAAATAATTTCTAATATACTACCAATTAATGCTTAGATGTAATTAGTTATTACCTTATAAATAAATTTATCGTATAAATAATTTGGCATAACCTCGATCTCTCTACAATTACCTTCTACCAACAAAAGTTGAAAATCTTTCTCAACTTAAAAGTTTAAAAACAAAGAAACATCTTATATTTCCCATTTTAGATTAAATATGAAAGATACAAAAAGTTTTTGAAATTTTAATTTGATGAGAGTTGTACATTGTCTTCATCTTTAATTTGGCAAGAAATTATAAATAATTTACTATGTTTTTATCATAGCAATAAAAATAAGATCAAAAGATATAATTAATTACCATGTACTAACTACTAAGTACATAATATCCAATTCAAAAGAAAGTTAGAAGAATCCTATTTACTAAAATATATTTCCAATAAGATAGAAATGTCGCTCGCTCAAAGAAAACGCTTTTAGCGGTGCTTTTTATTGATTGAAATAGAACAAAGATAAAAAATAAAAATAAAAAGTATTTTCTCTCGATCCCTATTTATGTCTTTAGGATGAACTTGAAAATAACTATCCAAGACGTATTTTAGAAAAACTCTTAAATCTTCAAGGCTTACATATTCTTGCTAAAACTGAAAAGAAAGTGATAAAATTATGAAATAGGAATAGATTTTAAATTGAAGGATCTCTATAGGACAACTTCTTTGAGTTAACTATATAGAATCAATATTCATCCTTTTTTTCGGAACATATGTGTTTAATTTTATAGCTCAAACACAATTTCTCATATACTAACATTTATGAGATATTTTTTTTTAAATTACTCAATGACACAGGCACACGCGCAACGCGCGCACTACAAACATAAATATATAGANGTAGGGCCTCTTGCTTATTGATCAGTTCGCCTCCTTTCTATTGAAAAATCAGAATTCCTACGACGGTTTTGCCAATGAACGACGTCTCGGGCCGAATTGACTAAGCTAACCCACCCTTAAGGAGACTTTTCCATATTAGGAATATCATCAAATCAAGCAATTCATGAATTTGATTGTGAATACACAAAATTCCAAGTTCCCAAAGTGCCTCTCTTAGATCTCTATAGTTCTTCCAAGTTTCTGATCTAAAATCTGGTTTATGTCTCGAATTATAGGGCTTAACTTTTGAATCATTATTACTTGGATAGCTAAACCTCTTTGCTTAGCTAATAAACAAAAGAACTCCATGTGTACCTTGTGTTAACATACAATAAACTTTTTACTACCTATATTTGTTTATAAGAAGTTTCTTGTTCACGCTCTCCTTTTTTTTTTAAATTATTGTGTTACTATATTCTTATTGTAATTGATGCTTTCTTTATTGTTGTTATTGATGATTTACCTATATATTTTAGTTGTGAACTTGAATCTTATATATTCGTTCATATGTTGTATCACACCATACTATGATACTTGAATCAAAGAAGATTTACGCAGTATTAGGTTGGTTAGAATTCACAAATTTTAGGGTTGTGTTTTAATTTCTCCTCTCTCTTTTTTCCTTTTAATTTAATGTTTTAATTATTTACATTATATACTTATATTATATGTCCATATATTTCTTTTCCCAAAGTTATCGAACCTACAATAGCTCGTAGAATGAATTCGTTAAGATAATGTAGTTAGGTTGTTTAACGTTCTTTTGACGCCTCTATACGAATTGGACGATCAAACTTCAAATTGAATTAGATAAATTAAAAAAATGTCGATTCTCACCACATTACTCACATCCAAATATGTAAGCCAGTCTGTTTGGCCAAGTTTTTGGGAAGTCAAAGATAAATATTTCTTTTTAAATGTGCTTATTTTGGAGAGTTAAGGTGTTTTGAGGTACTTTCGAATAGTGGTAGAAGCTGAAAAAAGTAAATTTTCCCTTAAACATGGCCAAAGTTCTTCTAGCTTAAAGTTATCCCTAGAAATTAATTTTGTCAATACAATTATATTTTCAGATAAAGTATTTTTTTTCATTTAAATGATCGTTGTATATACCTCTACATCAATTGCTATTGTAATAATTCATTCGTTAATTAATAGGCACAGAATAAACGTGCAACGTACGTACACTAAAACTAGTTATTTTAAAAGCATGAACATCCAAATTGAAATGTAAAAGACGAAAAGATCATTTTACTGTTGATGGACGGTTGTACCCTTTAAAACTAAAGCATCTCATGCAAAACAAATTTTTTTACGTTACCAGCAATACATAAGTGGAGGAGTTACAATTAATAATTCTACAATACAACTTCATCTTTAATGTAAATTGCTATAAAATAAAGACTGTAAAGTAAAGACAAGTATAGAGAGAAACTGATATATTGTTCGAATTCAAACTGATGTATATAATGAACTGAAATCTCCTCTATTTATAGAAGAAAGGAAGTTGTTGTGTAAGCTGCTACTGCAAGTTACTGTGTAAGCTGCTACTGCAAGCTGCTACTATACCAGATATGGATAATCTTCTACTGAGAGTAATGTTTATCCATAACGGAGTACTGAAAGGATAAGCTCATTGTACCAGGTATAGATAATCTTTTACTAGGGGTAATGTTTATCCATAACGGAGTACTGAAAGGATAAGCTCATTGTACCAGGTATAGATAATCTTTTACTAGGGGTAATGTTTATCCATAACGGAGTACTGAAAGGATAATCTCATTATACCCGGTATGGATAATCTTCTATCGGGGGTAATATTTATCCATAACCGGGTACCAAAGTGATAAGCTTCTTCAGGAGACTTATTTCCAATAGAGTACTAAATAGATAAACATATTTACGGCGGAGTCCCATATGGATAAGCTTTTTCAGGAAGCTTATTTACAACGGAGTACTAAATGAACATCCATAATATAATATATTCATAACACTCCCCCTTGGATGTTCATTAAAAGATAATGTGCCTTATTAAAACCTTACTAGAAAAAAACCCGTAGGAAAAAATTTAGTGAAGGAAAAAGAGTACACATATTTAGTAATACGCATTGCTGGCTGCCTCATTAAAAACCTTATAAGGAAAGCCCTGTGGGAAAAACCTTAGTAAGGGAAAAAGAGTACAACGCGCATTTTACTCCCCCTGAAGAAAACCTTATTTCAAATATTTGAATCTCCGCATTCCAATCTTGTATACCATATTCTCAAAAATTGAAGTTGGTCAAGACAATCTACTAGATTGTCACTTGAACTAATTTGATGCACATCAATATCACAATTTCCCTGAAGATCATGTGTGTAGAATAATTCTGGTGAAATGTTCTTCGTTCTATCTCCTTTTATAAATCCTCATTTTAATTGGGCTATGCATGCAATATTGCCTCTGTATAATATTGAGGGTCTTTTATCACATTCCAACCAACATGTTTCCCGAATGAATCACTGATCTCAATCATATGCACTTCCTACTTGCCGGTTTGAGATCGAGTTTTATAGGGATTGGATAAATAACCTGCATCTGCATAAGCAATACGATCTGCACCACTTTTGTTAGCATTAGAAAGATAAATAAATGCACCATCTACACCGAAATAGAGTATTTAAGGACCAAGGAGTTCATCATCCTCTTCTAGAGGTTGGAACGGATCCTTATTCACTTCAAGTGATTGAATATCCATTAATTTACTTAATGGGTATACTTTGCCTATGTAAAAGCATTTTTAAGACCCTTTTGGAGCTCTTCTGAAGTTCCAATAAGATTTATGTCATCAACATAAATAATAAGTATAGCAAATTTTGATGATATTTTCTTTATAAAAATATATGTACAAATGATATCATTTATCTAACGTTCTTTCAACAAATTTTCACTGAGGCAATTATACCACATGCGCCCAGATTGCTTTAAACCGTACAAAGATCTTTGTAATTTAATCGAGTACATTTTTCGAGACTTTGAATTATATGCTTCAGGTATTTTAAATCCTATATAGATTTAATCAAATGAGTCATATAGGTTATGCCTTGCATTTAAATGGCATGACATCTCCTAGTGCCTGGACTACAGGTCTGATCCTCATAATATTTTACAATATTGTGCACTATATTGTATCAAATATATCGTCGACGATCATTTTGTATCGGTTCCTAAGCAGCATAACTTGTTGAGATCTCATAACTTTCTTTATTTTCAGGTACCTGAACTTCTTCTGGAGTTTCATGAAATGTTATGTCGTGGGCTCTTCTAGAGCTCA